GAATTTTAGGCTGCCAGAGCTCGCTAGGTGGCACGAGGCTGTGTACGACACGGTTCTCATTTGACCAAGGTGGGCAGTTTCCAAGATAACGAAACCAAGGAAGACACGCTTCTTGGTAGGTAAACAGGTCTCCTTGCATTTCTTCGTTGATGGGAATCCCGCACTCGGTGATCAGCCACGTTTGAACACCCCAGGGTCTGTCTCTCTGATCAATTCAGAATGCAAAATTCGCCCTCAAAGCCATCAGAAACAGTTGAAATCTTTGGCGGCAAGAAGCCGGAACACCATGAGCCCGCGATCAAACCAAAGGACCAGGTCTCCAAACCCTTCACAACCTTCCTTACACCCTCCTTTGGCTAGCTAGGAATGAAGGAATGGATCCTTCTAGTAGCCCCTGTATAACCCATTATAGTAGTTCCCAGTTTCTTTTCCATTCCATCATTTAAGGCTAACCAGAGGTAAGTTTTGGCTGTTCTTGCTCCCATTGCCAGTGAACCCCATTGAACCGCGTGAAACATCATGATACTTTCATCGGCGAACGGATCAACAGCTTAGTCCTGATCTCAGTCTTGAGCAGCCTAATTGTTGAGATCTTAATCCTATTCCCTGTGTGCAATCCTAATCCGAGCACTAGCTTAATAAAAGGGACCATATTTAAAGAATTCTTTTTGCTAGAATTAGGGTCCGAGGACTGCTTTCAATTAGAATGGATTTCGTATGGGAAAAAGGGGCTACATTTAAAGATTTTTTGGGGAACCCATCCTCCCTGATAGTAGAGTTGAGCAAGTAGTTTAGACTACATTTACTTAATGGAGATTCAATACATTCCCATTCTTTGTAAAAGAGGTCTAAGAGCCCCAATGACCCACGAATGATTTTCTGTCGGATTTTCAATTAATAGAGATTCAATACATTCCTATTCTTTTTAAAAGGGGTCCAAGAGCCACAATGACCGAAGAATGCTTTTCTTCTCTTCCGGCGCCCACGATTCTTATTCTGGCGGGGGGGGGTCCCCACCAAACTAAACAAATGTTCGGATTAATCCCAGCCCCCCCAAACCTTGCACCCCCACAAGCACCGTATCCTCCCCCTAACTACGGTTCAGCCCCATTCAATGGATAGTCCTTTCTATGGGTGCATTTAGGGGGTTCCGCGCCAATGGAAGGATAAACACTATCCCCTAAGCCCGAAAGCGATGCCCAGCACCCCAAACCCTAACCCCAAAACCTCCCTAGCCTGGCCTTTGGTTAGCTAGGAATGAATGAATCCTTATAATAGTCCCTATATAATCCTTTTTAATAGTTTCCATTTTCTTTTCCATTCCTTCATTCCCAGCAAACCAGAGGTAAGTAGCCCCCGCCGAGGTGCTTGAAACCCATCTGGCCAGTGGCGCAGAAGACGCAGCCCATCGCGCAGCCAACCTGATTGAGGAGTTTGGTGTGTTTTGTAGTGTAAGATCTAGGGGGGTTTAGCAATTACTTAGTGATTTATGATTTGGCGTTTTAGGGATGGTTCAGGTCTTCCTCACTTCTTTCTTCCGCAGGGCTTGTGGTAAGGGTATCTCCTGAAACCCGATCCTGCCTCCTGCACAGGCTAAACCCGCATGTTACGAAATTCGTCACACCAAAAACGGCCCCCCCTAATTTTTGGAAACCTTGATCACTACGAACCACGACACGATGCCAGCTACCACGTTGTTTTCCCTTGCTTTTACATTTGATTCTCCATTATTGTCAAGGACTTCACGCTCAAAAGCTCTGCACCTCTGGATGTACAGATCTGGTCCTTGCATGGCACTATCGGGGCCCAACCTCTTAGAATCATGGTATGACATCAAAACGATGTTGGTAATTGTTCGAGCCCCTACATTTTTACCCACTATGAAACCCTATATGAGCCCAGCTTGCATTTTATGTTCCATGTTCTTTCCCATCTGATTCTCCATTGCTGGTCAGCGGCCCTAAGCTGCACGTTGCCCCTACAGAACCCCTAGTAGGTCCCTATATATGTGGTTGTCAAAATTGTGATCCCTTTTTGGGTACCCTAAATATTAGGTGCCGTATTATAATAGGCATCCAAAAAGGGACTATAATTTTGACAACCACCCACATAACCCCTATACATACCCTATTGTAGCTTCCATTTTCTTTTCCATTCCCCTATATAACCCCAATACAGTATATAGTAATTTCCATTCTATTTTCCATTATCCCAATTTTGACAACCACCCATGTTAATTCGCGAATGTATCCCCTTTTCTACCCGCATTCCCGCGTGTCTATTGCGAGGTGTGGACGAAGGAGTTGTCAGGAAGGCTAAGCCAGGCAAAAGGCAGTTTGAGACTGAGAGACATAAAATCCTGTATGACGTTAGTCTACTATAGTATCATAACTCCCAAAGTAGAAGGTACTTTGGGTCATGCAGAATTTTTCGTATCCATCGTAGCAGACCTAAAGCCAGAACCACGAGCACCAGTCCCTCATAAGCTTCAAGTTAAGCCCTGAACCCACAAAATCCCACAGCTCTACATGTCAGAAACCTAAAGCCTCATACTTCCCCGTGTTATTTGAGAGCTACTGGTCTCAGATGCCCAAACGCCCTGGTTTTTTGAAGATCGTGAGAAGCAGCCGTGTAAGCATGAGGACAACAAATGGCGTCCAAATAATGATCTTTAGATCCATGCGCTCAACATCTACATCCAACAAACCCTAAACCCTAAACCTGTCCAACCCACTCCCAACAAAGCCTGGCTGGAGATACAGGCTGTGCGGCGCCCGTCCTGTATGAGAGGAAGGCCCCAAGTTCCCCAATCTCATGTGGTTTAGCAGTCTCAACTCCCTTAAAAGGGGTTATATGGGGGATTTATATTCAGGGGGATACCAGGAGTTCAGACTATAGCTCATGTGGTTGGAGGCTTAGAGCATGGAAGCGGCCCTGCCTTATTGCAGAAGCCAGGAAGCTAGAACATCAGCATCCTCCCACCCCAGAAAGAAAAAATGACAAATTGCATCTCCATGTTCTGTCAACATTTGGGCGAGAATGTATTTCCCCTGCTAAACATTTGGAGGATTTTTCTCCCCCAAGTGTTTAGTGCTTCCTGGCGATGACTGTAGGATGCATAACTTCCAAGAAGCGTCTGCTTAATCCTTCTTTCAAAGATTTCCTGCCGCGATCACCTTAACATTATCCCCTTTTAAGTCCTCCTTCCTTTGCAACCAAGGCTTTATGCGGGCAGTGACCACTGCACCCATGATTATGAGCTACAACTTGAACACCTTCATGACCTTTCTTTTTCTGCCTCAAGCAAGTGAGCTGTAGTCTAAACTCCTTAAAGGGGGGCTACATGGGAGATTATATAGGGAACTACTATAGGGTTATTAAGGGGTATACCAGGAGTTTGGACTGTAGCTCATGTAGTCCCTAAACAACATCCAGAGTAACAAGGCTGTTGGACCTGGGCGTAAAGCTTCAAGGCACCAGTACACAACAAACCCATGCTTCAAAGCCTGAACCACAAGCCCCGATTTCATGACCCCAAGCCAAAAACCCCCAAACCCTGACCATACAAAAACCTACAACAAGCAGAACCTGGTAGGGCATCAGGACCGACTCAATAGCATTGCCCTCTGGTAGCCGATAGGCCACCTTCAGCGCTAAGCAATGTCCAAGTTTAGGGCTCAAGGTCCATGGCTACATGAGGCCAAAGAGACCTCAGGGATATGTAAGGGACTATAAGAGCGTCGCGAAGCCACGATTACCGATTGTGGAGGGATATCTTGGGAAGCACCCTCGGCAGCTATCGAATACTAGGAATCGAGCATCCTAAAGGAAAATCAATGTTTTTTCTCGGGTTCCATACTTCCCCCAAAAGTTCTCGCACGGGCACTCATGGGAGGCGTAGATGCCGCACTTTTGCAATTACAACTTTACCACGTTGAGGCGTTCAAAATCGCCCCCTCGCCACGCCTGCACGGTTTTGCAGAGCACTCCCATCACAGCCCTGCATGCCTTCCGATCATGGTGATGCTACCAAAGTGTGGTGCGCTTTCCGGTTGCAATCCTCGTAGTGCTCTTCGTGCTTGGAGACTCAGGGTCGCAGCGATTGTAATTGCAGTCGAATTTGGACCCTCAAGCGCTAGGCATAGTAATGCGCTAGCTACTGGACCTCAGCTTTTTTGGGGTGCTCTTGGAGTTCCCTTTAAATGCTCCTGAGCTGCTGATCGGATTGGAGTGCTCTTGGTGTCTTCTTCGAGTTGCTTTGCGGGTCCTTTAGAATGCACCTCAGGACTCTTGCGTTGCCTTCTGAGCATGATTTGCGGGTCTACGCAACACTTATTGCTACTAAATCTACTGGCCTTGGATGGCTCAGGAACGTCCATGAGGATTCAAGGATTACACTTTAGGGCCCACGGAAAAAGCATTGCGTATCTTGGGTCGGTTCAAGGTTTGAAGTTAATGTAGCCAGGCCAACGGCAACCTAAACCCGAAATCTTAAACGCTAAGCCGTTTATCAGAGGGAATAAAGCATGGGGGTATATAGGGTTTAGGGCTTCGGGTTTCTCAAAAATAGGGCTACTCTTGGGGTGATACCTATGATAAGGATTTGAGGTTTGGGGTTCCATATTGGGGTCCCCCTACTTATGGTAACTATCATATTCCAGCCCCTCGTGTAGTCCTTGTCATGGGGCCTATATACACGCCACATCCACCCCACGAGTTGATCCCACCTCAAGGGACACCAAGACTGGGAAAGAACGGCCAGAAAGCTCAATGCAGAAGCAGCAGCCGCAGAGGCAGCAGCAGCAGCAGCAGAAAAAGAAGCCGAAGCAGGCTCAGCAGCAGCTAGCCGTGCTGACTAGCCACAGCAGCAGTAGCTCCTCATCGTTCAATCTAACCCCACGAGTCCATTGCTTCAAACAGCTGGGGCATGAAAAAAAAATCAACCACAAATCTGATTGAGTCATTGCTGAAGTCCCTGATACCCCGAATTGGACCGCTGCCTTCACAGTGCCGTCATTGGACTCCTGGGCCCAGTTGCTTGAAGACTTAAGCTGCAGGTAAGGCCGTAGGTAAGGGCTGGGACATCTGAGGCGTTACTGAAGCTTCATGCTGCATATAGGGACCCCCCAAAAAGGTACCGCTAATTTTGGAAAACCCCCAAACGGATCAAGGCCCAAGAGCCAAAAGACCTGGCCTACTGCACGAAAGGCTCAGAGCTAAGATCCGGCGTCGCGCTGGGCAAAAAGCAGGTTAAGGGTTTAGGGTTTAGGGTTTAGGGTTTAGGGTGAACCTGCTAGAGCTTAGCTGCTAGAGGCTAAACCACAGAGGGGGTGTTTCCATGATTTCGCCCCCAAGTGCTCTCAAATTCTAAGCACTAAACTTCCAACCCGATTCCCTCCTGCTAAGACCCTGGGCCTGGTCGAGATCGGGGGAGCTTGTAACACCTGTTGGCATGTAACTGTATGAAGTGAACTATCTTCAGATCCGCTGCCGTACATACCACAGTATACGCCACTATCTACCCCCTTAGTACCCACAAACCAGTAGCATACTTGGGCATGGCCACGCTACACTCCAACTACTAGGCCCAGGGTCTTGCTCAGCGATGATTTTCCAATCATCCGCACCTTGTGACGGTTCCCAAAGGGCAGAGATTATGAGAGTATGTGGGGGTTGTAGCCGTATGCACTGACAAAGAGGAATACAGATGATTGTAAAGGTTTGCCACAGGGGGACACAGATGATAGCAGGAATGCCAGTGCCCCGAACTTTCGAATTTGCGCAGAATCTCTGGATGCGGGCTTCTCAAATGGGGTCGTCCTCAGGCACCCGTGCGACAAGATCATTGCTTCAAAGAAGCTTCTTTATAGGAATGCTTAGGAAGGGCTTGTGGGAACCCTTTTTGATGTTCGGCCAAGAGTCATATGGATGGTTGCCAAAATGATGGTCCCTTTTTGGGTACCCTACGTATTAGGTGCCGTATTATAAGAGGGATCCAAAAGGGACCATAATTTTGACAACCACCCATATTAGGGCATCAAGAGGTCTTCAGATATCCTCTGCAAGGTGGCGTGTCCCCAGGAAATCGGGATTTCCCAAAATTAGGGGTACCAGTTTGGGGGTCCCATAATAAGGACTGTAGTATATTGGGGTCTATATTGGAGCCCCCCTATTTTGGGAACTCCCAAATTTTGTGTCACCCAAACGCCCCGGGCCCAAAGGCAAACCCCAAGGGATTCAAGTGAGGGCCCCTTCAGGATATGTGCCTAACAGGCTTGTTCTCAAAATCACGGAGGGTATTGCGTGTGGGGCGCACCGAACATTCCGCGCTCCCAAAGAAGCAGCCAACTCTCACATTTAGGCTGGCCGCTCTTTGAATTAGATACTGCAGGGCCCACATCATCAGAAATGCCATTCAGATATCTATTGAAGCACTCATTACCACAATCATTTTAAAAAAAGATCCAGGACCATGATATTGATCAGCATTTGGGCGTCTACATTACGCCGCTCTCTGAGCCCTTCAAAACTTGTGTCACTCGAAACCTTTGACCATTGAAAGGTGCCTCCTCCTTCAACCCTGATGCCCAAAGTGTTGTCAAATGCCTGCTGAAGCCAGCTTGACAAGGGAGTGGCGCACACCTTGGTTTTGGAAGTGCTTCGGGTTTAGGGTTTTGGGGCTTGGGGTGCGGCTTGTTGGCTGGGACCGTCATGAGCAAGAGTTGGTGGCTAATGCAGCTGAAACCACCGTAGATATGGAAGTTTGGCAACATTGCCGTGCCCAAAATGCCATTAACTCTAAACGCTTAAACCCTAAACCTCAGCTGTGGTAAGAATCCAGACCTTGGAACCCGTTTTGTATGATTCCTGAGCAAAGCTCCGTTCGCCAAACCTCTGGTCTTGCTTTCGTTTGCAAGTTCAGGTTCCAGGGTTTGCAGACTTCCACATCCAAACCTCTCCAAACTCTGCATGAAGAAGATGTGACCACTAACATGATCACACACCCCAAGCCTGAAAGGGTAAGGAATACTACGCTGACCCCGGCTCTCCTGACCTCAACAAAAACTCTAGCCCACCAATCCTCAACCCTTGATCGCTCAAAGCTCACGTGTGTGCACAAACCTGTGCGAATTTGAGCCCTCAGGCCTTGTCAGACTCAGGCTCTTGCCTTGCCGTCAGGCTTATTCCAAAGCACTGCCAACATGCAGGCTAAATCAAGCGTAAACAAATCCAAAGCCTGGCCTTGTACCGTCCTGCCTTTTTACAACCCAACAGCTACTTGAAGTTTCATGGTCCCATGACGAGAGTCCCATCGCAATGCTGGGAATCTTCATGAAGTCCTGGCTTAGCGGGGGGGCTAGTTCGATCATGTCTGGGTTTAGGGTGCACACGGAATGAGACCAATGGGGTGATGGGAGTACTCAAAGCTACCAAAAACATCTTAGTGTAGGGACAGTAACCCTAAACCCTAAACCCTAAATTCTAAACCCTAAACCCTAAACCCTAAACCCTAGTCCTGGCATCCCTTCTCGTAGATCCACTCTCGCAGCTGTTTGGCAACCTGCGCAATCGGCTTAGGCTCTGAGATTCAGGCTTAGGGATTGGGATGAGCCTTCACGTGGGTAGTGTTTTTTTGGTGGTTAAATAATATTCCTTATATAAAATACTAAACCCCAAGAGGAGGATATAATCTTACTCTATATTGGGTACCATAATATTATTCACGGCCGTCAGGCAGTCGTTAGAAGCTTCAGGTCTGTTGCCTGCGCAAAAGTGGAACAGCGCGATGTACGCACTCGGCAAAAGCTAGGCAGTTTGCAAAATCATAAGACCCTGCAAGCAAGCC